GGTAAATTATTATCATTAGTTTTAAATATGTTACAGATGAATATGTATCAATTTTCTTATTCCATTCTAATAGCATAAGCCAAAATGACAAAAAGGGGAAATAATTGTAATTCTAATTGCTCAGGCTTAATAATGAATATAAAAGATATTTGTTTTAAATGCATTTTAAATTTGTTCTATAAATATTATTTGAGAATGAGTTAGAAGTAAAGATTATTAATTCCTCTAAAATTAATAAGCTCTTAAGAAATTATGAACTGTATGTAAGGGTGAATTTTCCAAGGAAAATCAGTTTTGTATTTTCATCACCTGGAAATATATATTGGTAGTGTTATGATATTGAAAGCAGTTATAAATATCCCTCTGAACCTGGAATGGATCAAAAACATCAGCTCTGCATATAAAAATGTGATTCCAAGTTTACATGTTTTCTATTTCCTCTTTAAGGTATTGTAAATTGAAAACTCCAGGGAAATGCATAATTCATATGCAATAAAGAGGAAAGGAAAGCAGGGACCCATGCATTCTTAAGTGTCTGGCATACATACTCAGACACTTTCCCCCTCAGTATTATACTTTATGGAATATTTGCCTTAATCTGCATCTCAAAACCCCAGTGCACTGACATTTAAAGAAATTAAAGATTCCATGCTTCATTGAGAAGATAAAGTTGAGAAATATTGTTTAATTTGTTATACAACAAAGGCTTTAGTATTAAAATGCATTTAATCATTAGGAAAAGCTGTACATTGGAACTGGTTTATCAGGGGTTTAAAGGTAGCACTGAGGAGAAAACAAATTGTATGTAATTCAGTAACTCAATTTACCTTACATTCAGGTTATGTTTGAAAAGTGTGCTATCAGATATTTTATTTATCATTTTGTAAAAAAGGAATACATGACGATATTAAACTTGTCTAAAGATAAATACTAGTGTTTCAGCTACATTAGATTGAATAAGTTTTAAAATAAAAGAATATGGAAACAAAACAAAAACTTAAAACTAAAATAAGCAATAATTGTCTTTTCAAAAAATCAAATAAATACTAGTTTTTAAATTATTATATCATATTATATTTTTTCTTGTAGTAGATAGCAGAATTTAGTCATCATTACTCTTCTTCTTAAAATACTTATTCCCATTTAATACCTGTTGTTTACCATCTAAATAATTCCCAATAGAATTTTATATGTAGGATGAACACTGTCCTTAGGTCTCTGTTAATTACTAAATATATTATTTATTTATCCCTTTTCCCGGTGATGATTCTAAATGTGTACACATATTGAACATACAGAGGTTTAAGTTAAATCTTATTGCGAGAAAAGTTTAACTTTTAACATAAAATGTAAATAATGCACCTCTACAAAATTGCAATAGAGCTGATAATATACAGTGAGTAGTTATCAAGCAGAAATCATTTAAAAATTTAAAATATCTCTGTTCTACTATACTATAAAAAAGAATCCTCCCCCCCCCCCACCACCACCACTGGTACTCCATTTGAATCCATTGCCTTCACACTAAGCTACGTTCCCTAACTCCCTTTTAAAACCTGATTTTTTATTTTTTTTATTTTTTTTATTTTTTTGTTGGGAGTGGTGGCACATTCAGTAGGCTGAGGCAGAAGGATCACCAAGAGTTCAAGGCCAGCCTAGACTATATAGTGAGTTCAAGGTCACCTTGAGCTACATGAGCCTTTGTCTCAAAAATTTTTTCTTTAAATTTTGAGACAAACTCTTACTAATTCACTAAATTGGCCAAGCTGGGCTGGAACTTGAGATCTACCTCCCTCAGCTTCCCAGTTGTGAAACACAATGCCTGGATAACTGAATAATATTTCCAGAAAATTCCTATGAAATTATTAAATGCCATATGGATAATGTATACTGTTCAGAGGAGTTTAATCATCTAATTAATTAGCTGCCAATCTATAAAGATGAAAGCAAGTAAGTGTATTTATTGAATAGCTAAGCTTCATATATAAGTTGGGGTAAAGGAAATGCCTTGATAGCTTTGTCTATATGAACACTACTTTAGTAAGATACAGGCAGCTTGCAGAAGGAGAGAAGAGACCTGTAGGCAGTTGCAGAATGGTAGTAATAAGCAAGACAAGAATGTATAGACTTTAATGTGGGCATGCTTGTATTTATAATTATAGTGAGGAAAAATATAAATTCCATGTGGATTAATTTCTAGCTTAATGCAAGCTTGTATAACTTTTCAAATTTCTATTGGTCTTACTTCCCATATCTTAGCCACAACCTAAGTCTCTCTTCTTTTTTAATGTTACCACACTTCTAACTAAGGAAAGATTCCCATAGGGAATGACATTCAAATAATCTTACTCTGGGTGTACTGAGCTTTGTTTGATTCTATTATAGTAAGTAGTACCTCGGCGGTTCACAAACTCAATTCTTTCCATTATTCTGGTTGCAAACCAAGTTGTACAAAAACTCAATCAAATTCAATGGTTAAATTCGATGTTGACCTTATGGGGAAATTTGATTCGGCTCTTGTCCAGTGTGGTTTCTGACCAGAATCATGGATATAGAATTGAGTTTGTCAACTGAGGTACCACTGTCCTTCACCCCTGTGCTCTAACGCTGTAAGTGATATTGAGCTTGTTGATCTTTTTCCACTTGCTTTAACAGGCAGCAATTTAAAAACCATAGCATATAAGAAATGCTTGTATTAACTGAGGTTAAATTTAGTTACATTAAGTAGACAGGAGTGGCTATTTTTCAAAATATTTACGATTGTTTCATTCATTTAATAATCTTTATTTGATGCTGCTAGTACACATCAATGGTGTAAATTTGGTATAAATATCTTATTTAATAAACATCAGAATTCCATGAGTTAGAAGTTGCTAATACCTAAATTTAACTCATTAAAACTTTAAACAATTTCAAGAGACAGATGCTCTGCAAATTCTCATTTTAGAAAATAAGAATCAATGCTAAAAATGTGAGAGTGTGTAACTTTCCTAATGTCTGCACATGAGTAAGTGGTAGTACTAATTTTTGAAAACAAGTTTGACTTTAGATTATCTTAACCAATAAACATGATAAGTTACATCTCACTTTGATTTTAAAATCACCTATTAAAATTTTAGCTGAGCTAAAAAACATTGAATTGCCATACATTTCTCTGCATACCCTTACCTCATGAGGAAGAGCAACATTTTCATAAGGCTAGATATCACAGGCAAGCTAGTTGAAGTTGTGAAAAACAACAACATATTTACATTATAAATTCTTTCCAAACAAAACCAGCAGCTTATAGAATGGAGTAGTCCCATGCTGCTCACTTCTGATGATTATCTTTTCACTTTACCTAAAAAGATTTGAATTGTTCAGCTCTCTTATACTATAAACTTACATTTGCATAAGAGTTAGAAATACAAACTTTTCCAAGCTAGAATCAGGTGATATGGCTCATGCTTTTATTTTTAGTATCAGCTAAAGGAAATCTCTAGTACAGTATATTTTATTGCATCTGCAGAAAGATCAGAATACTTACTAGAAAATCTGAAATAATAAGACAACATCTCTGACAAATTTTAGGATAACATTAAAGTATTTTTTCTTCCAGGCTCTGACTCTGTGAAAGCTAACAGTTCACCATATCTAAGGAGAATATTCCCTAAACACTGGCACAAGTGGAGTGAATTCTGCTTGAACCAGGGACCTACTTCTATGCTGATCAGATTACATGCAGAGTTAAGTCCTGCTTGAAGTCAATTAGGGTTTGAAAACATTTCTCCAGTTCCTGAATAATAATCTTTAACTTCTTCATTGAAACCATTTATGTACTAGTTGTTAGGTATGTTAGAGGAAATTACAGCATCTCTATTAAAAGGAAAGGCCAAGATTCCTCCTGACTAACTAGGATTGTGAATCCCAGTTTTGATGGCTTTCTATGTGTGTATATATCTCTGAGATAATTAATATAATCATGATAAGCATTTGAGTGAAGTTTGAATTACTGTATGGAGGGACTTGGCCATTTAAGCAAATATTTATTACATATCCATAGTGTTATATGCGTTTTTTGCCTTTCTTTTATGAAACAATACCACACTATGTAGTCCAGTAGGCCTGCCTTAAATTCACTATGTACCCCAGGCTGACCTCAAACTTGTGATGATCTTCCTGCCTCTGTCTTTGTGCGTGCTGCCATTACAGGGGTGCACCAGAGGTCCTGCTTGTTTGATGCTTTTATTATTCCTATACTCATAATTATTTTGGATAATGAAGTTCAAATATCTCTGATACAGAATGCATATGATTATAAGTAAACATTGCATATGTTTCTAACAATTTGTGTAAGACTATTAAGCAATTGTCTTAAAGAGCAAATCTTTCATTATCACCTTCTGCCCTAATTTTAGCAGTGGTAGGTTTGGAGTCCACAATGAAGTCTCTCTATGAATAGTGTGCTGGTCAACTAGCTTTATTGCATTTCTCATGTATGCTCTCTGCCCTTAAAATTTGTACTAGTGACCAAGATTTAATGTTTTAACAATATCTTTTTTTATAAGGTGTTTAATGTCTGATTTTTCAACCTATATATCTCATGAAAAGAACAATTTATTTAGTCAGTGAGTCAATAAATGGCTGTGCCAACACTGCTTTTGAAAATAAAAAGTCCTAAGAAACAAAGTTTAATTTCATGCATTTTAGAGAACCGTCTGTGCTAGTAAAATGAGTAGCTAGGCCATCAATGGAATTTTATTAGGATTAGAAATAGTTTTTTCTAATAAATTATTATATTCAGAAATAATTTATAAGAAAGGAAAATTATAATCAAATGGCATATTTTCTGTACACCTATCAGTCAGGATTATTTTCTTACATTTAAGCTTCAGTTATATATTTCCTTGAATATTATATAAAACATAAACTAACCTATAAAGCTAACATTTCAAGAATTCTTGCAACCATTTTGTTTCAGGAACTTTATCTTTTAAAATAATAAAGAAGATACTACTCACTATAGGTCCAGGTGGTCCATCTTGGCCTGCAGCTCCAGGGAGACCTTGTTCTCCCTGCAGAAAAGAAAACAAATTATATCGTATAAACAAAATAATATGTATTTCTAAAAATTAGAAAAAAAAACCAACAAAGCAACATTACCTATTGTACCACATGAAGAACATCTACAAATACTGTAAGAAATTTTGTGTCTTTTTACTCTAGTGTATATATCTAAAGGCATACACTTATGCATTCATTGTTAGGAATAGACGGATGCATGCAAATATTATTTCCTTGAGATGTTAAGACATTTTTATTGTGCCTTTGTTAAGTTTGAATTTTATCAAGCACTTACTACATAAGTGAAATACTTAAATATTTTAAGACTATATGATTTCATTTCATAACATTTACTGAATTCCTGTTAAAATGTCATCACTATAGGTTATTAAAAATATCATCATCAATATATCCATTCATAATTATTTTAGAAAAGAGCTGCTGTTGTCAAAATGGTGTCTTTGAGAACAGATGCTCACCACAGGGCCAGGAATGCCGCGAAGACCCTCTGGACCAGGCTTCCCAGCAGGACCCTGAGGGCCGACTGGGCCAGTTTTCCCAGGAGGACCTTCAGCACCTGCTTCTCCCTGTTAGAAAACAAAATGTATGAACACATTCAAAATCAGAAAAAGATATTTTGTTATTTCCTTAAATATATTCAAATGTTACTTGTTGTATTCATGAAAACTGTCAAACATTCTGTCTATAGCATCCACTTTACCTTGGCACCTTTTTCTCCTTGTCTTCCCTCTGCACCTGCAGCTCCAGGAGGACCCTAAAAACATAAAATTGTATCCTAAATAGGTGTACTACATAAAATTCATGCAAATAAAGACTTATTTATGAATGCTACAATTTAATCTGTAACAGATGCCAATAAATTGTAGTTTTAATTGCTATTTGTTTAGAAATGCAATGCAAAGAATCAATATTTTATGGACAAACTTTCACTTGGAATATTAAAAATAAAGCAGTAACTGACCAGACTACAGATAATCGCATCACATAAATGGAAGTGAACAGTAAAAATAAAATTTTCTTAAAATATTGATGAATTAAAATACTAAGTATAAAAGTCATTTATTATGTTGAATTATTGGGAATAAATTCCTTACATGTGCTTTAAGGGTGGTGTCTTCCTTAATCTAAACACACCTATGTGTTCATGCATTTTTATAAGATCATGTCTTAGCTAAAGAAACATGACAGTTAAATCACAGACAGAATATTTTCATTTTTTGAAACTATGTAATTCACAAAAATAGGTAACAGTTAAAATGTGTCACTTTTTAAAAATAGAATTAGAGCATAATTTTTAAAAATTACACTAAGATGTCATAAAAAGGTAAGTATAGAAAGATTAAGAATTTTGCTTTCCATGTGTTTACTTCACTTTGTTCAATGAGTGTTCTTGAAATCCTTAATAGAGACTGGATTTGGAGGTGGGAGAGAATAGTCATAGTGATTTTATTTGAGGAGAAAGTTAAGCATGAAGATAACTTTCTATTTTATCAGATGCTATCTTAACATTCTAGTTGACTATATGCCAGCCTTTATATGGTCTTTAAAATTCATATTTAAAATGAATATCATGCACTTCATCAAACACAGAAAATTCCATGAACTCATTTTATTTCGATGAGTCAATGAAGACATCATTAGTAACTATATTTTACTGTCAACACTATAACCTCATTCATTACTGAACATTCATTGTGCTTCAATCTAAAAATAAGTGATATATAATTTCTATGAGCAGTGTCTTAAGGTGGTAATAAATGAAATCATAATATATATACATTAAACTACAGTGCATCTTTAACTGAACTACTTATTCAAAAAGATGTCTGTATTGTATGATAAAGTTTCCTTTTTTCTACTGTTGAAATGTTGAGCTATAAATTATTTTAATGTGATATTTACTAAGCAATGCAAAGTAGAAAAATCAATTATAGTTGCTATTATTTTGGAAATAGAAATAATGTAATTCAGTGAAATAGTAGCTTTTGCTTATTTAATGAAGATGGTCATTGTTCCTTAAAATAATTACATGAATATATACTCTTCTAATTTTCAAAAGATCTCTTTTACACATATAAAATTTATAGAAGATTTATCTATATCTGCTTTTTGAAAATCAAGCCAACCACAATCTAAAAACAGAAAAATCTCTTTTTATGATAAAGGACAAAAATAAAGAATCTGAGTTTGAAGTTCCTGAGGGTTTGATACAACCAAGCTACAACATAGACACAAAACTTATTAAAATAAAGGGTTGCTCTACCACAAAATGTCTTCCCTCTGTGAACAAATATCTGCCATCATGAAAATCTTTATTAAATGATTCAGTTCTGTTCATTTTTTCATTTTATGTCTATTTTCATTTATCCTAATATTTTTCTCTGGATGGTAAATTGTGTGTGTGGGTGTGTACAGAATTTTTAAGAAGAGAAACACAATGACTTCTATGGTATGACAGTCTCCTTCCAAAAGGATGTGTTAGAAATTTAACCCCAAGGCAGCTATGTTAGAAGTTGAACTCTAATAGGAGGTGTTTAGGTCATGAAGGCTCCACTCTCATGAATGGATTATTAGATTATACAGAATGTAAGGCTGCTCTCTCTTACTCTCTGGCTCTCTTGTTCTCTCCCTCCCACCTTCTCATTCTCTTTGTCTTTTTGTCATGGGTTATCTAGCAAGAAGACCTTTGCCAGATATAGCCCTTTGATCTTGGACTTTCTTGCTTCTAGAAACATCAACCAATACATATACCCTGTCTGTGGTATCATGTTATATCAGCACAAAACAAGCTGAAAGAATGCCTATGGAAAGATACTTGCCTTAATAATAGTTCATATATTTGCATAAAGGCTCATATTAATTCTTCACTTGTAGTCATTATTACAATAGGTTCATCTATCCTTGAGAAATATATTTCCTATACAATATCCAAAATAATCTTCTTTCCAATAGTCATGTTTTACCACATGATCATATTATTTAATCATTCTTCCACTCATTTCACAAACATTTAAATATCATTTATGTTCCAAAAATGTGCTATTCATAAAAATACAAATAAAAAATAAAAATGAAACCATAAGGAGTTTACCAAATTTAAATTACAAAGATGAAAATCAAAGCTAATAAGTCCAGTAAAATATGAATATGAAGTTTGTGTAGAAAATAAATACACTGATTTTTGTGGTTTGGATCTGGAATATCCTCCTCAAAGCCTCATTTCCTCAGAGGTAGAGCTTGTGGAGGAGTGATTGGATTATGGGGCACTAGAGCTGACATGCTTTTAGGTAGTCTGTTTGGAAGAGGTGGTCGTTGAATGCGTGACCTGGAATGGTGTATCACCTTAGCCAGCTTCTCCAGTAGCTCTCTCAGCTTCCTGAAACCATGTATGTACAGCATTTCTCTGCTCAAGTCCTTCTACTGTGCTGTTTTGCCTATTAGCTAAAAGTGTGTGTGTGTGTGTGTGTGTGTGTGTGTGTGTAGCAGCAGAATAGTAGGTTCCAAACTGATGTGGTGGCTTGAGAGTTGAGAAGCAGAGGGAAATTATAGAAAGACAGGGAATTAAGAAGAATATACTTATTAAAAAATATTAGCAAAACAAAGTACGCCAAATTTAATGTGAAACTAGATTATTTGGGTAAACAAATGAACACGTGATAATTTTGCTGTAAAAATTAGAAGTTTTCATAAATAGTATTTAAAAACTAATATTTAGAGTATTTGTTATGGCTTATATCTAGATACCCCCCCCCAAGTCCCATATGCTCACGGGTAGGACTTTTGGGAGTTACTTTTTGGAGTTATGTGTGTGTGTGATACTGGATCATGGGTGTGTGATACTGAATGAGTCCATTGATTGGTTTAGCATACTTCTGGGTGTAGATGATGGATTTACTAAAGAGAGAGACCCAGCAGGGTTGTTGGTGGCACTAACAATTAGGTTTATACCTTGGATGAAATAAAAAGAGAAAGAAGAAAGAAATCTCACTCCTCCTGTCTGTCACTCTATGGACTGCATCTTGTCACATCACCCTGCCTTGCAAACTATGGACTAAAACCTCTACAAATTATGCTAAAATAAACTTTTCTTCCTTTAACTTGTGGGTGTCAGGTATTTTTGTCCCATCAAGAGAAAGTAACTACTATAAAACAGTATTTAAAAATACAGCTAAATAAATTTATTTCAGTATTTTTCAAAATTTTTAATATTATTTGAAGTATATATATCTCTAAAAAGGGTACATAATCTTCAGTTTAAATGTTGATCTCACTTCCATAATAATGTTCTGAGGCAGTTTTTTACTGAACAGAAATTTTAAGTGGATTTATAAAACCTTTTATCATCACAATGTATTTTATACAGATATATTTATATATGTCTCAATTTGAAATTTGAATTAATAGTACATATATAATAGTACATATTTACTATATGTATATTATGCATACGTGCCTATGTGAAATATATATTCACAAATTACAATGCATATATATTTGGTGTATATGTGTACATATATGTGAGTACATGAAGGAGTGCTCTATCTGTGTAATCAATATCATTTACTTCAAGTTTTTTAATGTAAGACTTCCTTTGGCAATATAAGCTGGACTGTAAAAATTCCATTTAACATGTGCATTTTCAGATTATAAAGTTAAAATTGTTTTTAAACTGTATAATTTTTTTAAATGAAGATATGGATCTACCTATAATGATAATGTAATATTAAAATTCTATGGCTCTTTGATATAAGCTCTAGAACCTTCTACTGCCTTAAGGAAATATACATTTATTCCCAAGTTTTACATATCCATGACCTAAGATATATGTACTAAAAATGATAACTTAAATTTCCTATTTGTTCAATAACAATCAGAATGTTGTCACTTTAATATTTTGATTGATATTTTATTAGGAAGTACAGTATTCTTATTCATTTGAAAGATTCACCCAGAAAATGTGATATTTTAAACACATCATTAGTCCTTGCTACTTCTGCAATGAAATGTTATAGCAAAATTGTTACTGGTTTATAGCTTAATCTAAGGTAGTACTCAACTAACTCTGCTAGTTTGGTTGGCTGTAATTTAAGAGTGAAGCATTAATTTCCAGTGTCAAGGCAAAACAAATCATAGTTTAGTACAAGATTATTGACATTAGAATAAATTTTCATACAATTAAAATAAATTTTATTTTAGTGAAGAAAATAGATCATTGTATAGAAGAGATGACCATGTCAGTTTACCTAAATCTAATGTAGAAAACAATTTAGCATATTTCGTTAAAGAGCTTTCAGTTAGATATAATGATATTATATTTTAAAAGAAGAAAACCTACATATTAATGTTCAATTGTGCTGACCTAAGGTTTATTATTCAACTTTATTGAAATGAATGTCAGCAGCTTTGTAAGCGGTATTTAGTTATCACCGTGCTCATGTCATTAATAATTCATTGACTCAGAGTCTTCCAATTTTGTTTACAGAATGAATAGAACAGGATAAAAATAGCTAATCATATTTGTATAAATTATTTTTTAAATAAGATGATAAACTATCCCTAAAATTTTGATAAGATAACTTTAAACCAATTCATCAAAAATCAAAAAGGAACTCCATTACAGTATTTTCAAAGAATAATAAAGTAAAATATGAAGCAGGGAATGACTCAGGTAATTATTTTCTTATTTCAGTCTCTCCACATTCAAGTTTATTGCATAATACAGTTCAGTATCAGAAACTTAGAACCTTCTTTCAT